GTTTGAGCCTCCTCTATAAAGTCAGTTTGTACACCCCTTACTTTCTTTTCAAAACCTTTAAATTTGTTTCATTAAACTAGCTGCTATAGAGAATGTAGTTGAAAAGTCTATTTTAAAACTGTAAAAAAAGGTTTTGACCACTGCATCTGATGGTGACATCAGTATGTTTTTATTTCTAGCGTTTATATGATTGTTTTCTTATAGAAGAAAGACTTCAGAAGTAGGGACCTGATATAGGTAAATTACAGATAAATTTAGTCTTTCAAAACATGTATCCTTTTCATGGAGTTTAAGACTTTTTAAGGCTTTGATACAGCTCCTACAAAAACAAAATCAGTTGTCTGGATTTTTATTTTTTTTTTTCCTTATTAACTCATTTTGTTTTGTAGGCATGGTTTATACGTACAATACAAGCAAGCACCTTTAGATAGAAACAGCAGCAATGAAGATCTTGGAAATTTTGAATTTAAAAAAAAAATAATCATGTTCAGTGCTGATATTAAGCTCTTTAAATCTTTTATTTCTTGATACAAATAAGTCACACAGATTTAGTCTCTCATTTTACAACTGATAAATAATCACAGAATGGTTGAGGTGGGGGGTCCAGGAGGATGATCTCCAGATCATCTAATCCAGTCTCCCAGGTCACAGCAGGGCCAACTAGAGCAGATTGCCTAGGACCATGTCCAGCCAGGTTTTGAATACTTCCAAGGATGGAGAACTCCACAACCTGCCTGGACAAGCTGTTCCAGTGTTTGGTCACCCCTAAAGTAAAAATCTTTGGTTTCTTAGTACGGGTGCATGGGGTTGTTCTTCCCCTGGTGCAAGACTTGGCATTTCTACTTTGCTGAAATTCATGATATCTGTGTTGGCCCATTTCTCCTGCCTGTTGGTGTTCCTCTGAGTGGTCACACAGCCATCTGGTGTATTTGCTTGTGCTTCCAGTTCTGTACCCAAGATGCTTTTTTTTGATAGGGGTGGTTTCAGTACCTGTAGCTCAAGTATAGGAGCTGTTCATGTGGTTTATGCTTTAAAAATGCAGACTTTCAGCTTTCTGTTAAGTCTTTCACATCACAGTGTAGATAGTCTTGACTCTTCAGAGGCATAAGTCTTGATCCATCTTATACCCCACTTGGTTAGGTATGTTACTGTCATTTTTGTCTTCAGTCAGTAAGCTTGAATCACTTTAGATTAGAAGCATAATGGATTAAGGCAAAAAGTGAGGCCAACCACTAGGAAAACCTGACAATGATTGCAGTGTGATTGTGCAAATTGCACGGTGTCTTCCCTGGTGTCTTCACTTCTAGTAATGCAGGATGGCGTGGCGCGTGGAAGGCTGTTGTAGAAGTTTCAGATAATGCTTCTTAGCAATGACTTCTGGCAAGGTTGTAAGCTGCAGTGGTATAGACACAGTGATATAATGGTATAGAAATCCAGTGGATTTAGCCACCTGTGCTATAGCCAGTGGCCTTGGCAGAGGAGGTTGGCAGACTGAGGGCAGTGATATCTTAAACTGCCATGGCTAAATCTGCCAATATTCATCTCTGATGCACAAGTCCCATCTTTTTCTTGGTCTGTCCTGCTAAAGAGCAGTTGTAACAGAAACGCCAGGCTCCAAGCCTTGACACTTCTTTATGCTTGTTAGCTATCTATTTCTTAGTTCAGTGTTGTTAAATCACTGAAAGTGGCAGGTGAACAGGCCCTCTTCCCAAAGAAAAATGAAATTTCTTTGTGAGGATTGAGTAATTTGGATTATTTGTGTGACACTGGTATAGATATCAGAGGGTAAGAGTCTCCAGGAGAAGGCAGAGTGCTAGGATTTAATGGCTGCTCCAGCCAGTGGTTTTTTTTTTCAGGATTTCTTTGAAATCCAACTCGTCTGTTAAATACAGGCTCTAACAATAAAAAAGATCATTTCATAGACTCCACTGCATCAAGGAAAGATGTATTTTGCCAC